CACACACACACACACACATATATATATATATATAAAAATTATAACTCTCGCAACTCACCTTCTTTCCTTTTTTCTTTCTAGAGAGTATTGTGGCAAAAAGAGAAAAAACATATGTATATATAAGTTTTTACAGTAATGTTCTTTCTCTCTTTGCCACAATAATCTCTCGATAAAAAAGAAAAAGGTGAGTGCGGGAATTACTTGAACGCCAGTATCTCACGGTAGTACACGAGAATTGTCGCTAGACAGATCAATGGATCTTTATTGGTATCATTTTGGAGCTGGGAGTTGCAGGATTGTAAATGTCACGAACAAGAGAAGCGCACGCGATAATTTTGACCGGACATTTGATGAAATCATTATAACATTAGCCGCTCGTGCAACGATCCCTTACCACGACGTTCCTCTACGTAGCTTTTGTACTTTAATCGGCAACTCTCCTGTTACCCACATCAACGACACGAATCAAAGTTCAAGTGCTTACAGAGAAAGGATGCGTACGAGAACGCATAAGCACGTACAAGAGCAATAAATGTATCTTCTAATACAATTCAACCACGTCATTGTTCACATACTTTCTGTGGGATAAGATATTTAAAGAGTTTAAATATCTCCGTTACTTGTGCGTACGAAACTGCGAGGTTTTTGTACGTTTGTATATAACAATTGAATATAGAAATATAACAAGAAAAACATTCTTTTCAAACACTTTTATTTTTTATATATTACTTTCATTTAAATTTGCGCGCAACAAAAATATTGATCTTAGCTAGAACATATATCTAGATCTGCAAGTTCCCAGTGCAATTTTATTTACATTAATCTTTAAGACATTCAGTTCCGCCATAAATTGTAAAATGAGCATAAAACCGTTTTTTTGTTTACATTCCGCCGTTTTGACTTCATACATTTTTAGTGACAATTAGTCGATCACTAACAGAACTGCGCAATTCTAAAGTTTCATGGATTTTCAAAACGTCGAAACAAAAGTGTATGTGTTCTAGAATTAAAAAACTATCTTATATACATTTCTCACACACATCTGATATGATGTCTCGGTAAGACATCAAATTATTAATTTTCAACCAACTGAAATACAAGTGTTTATTTGTTTATAATCAAAGCTCCAGGAACTTACCTTATATGAAATATAAAAACATAAGATACTTTTGTCTTTTGTTTACTTGATCAAAGATCACTATCATAGTGCCATTTTGATATATAGTATACAACGACTACAAGTATATTACATCGACGATCTAAATCTAGCACCTTGAAATGCGAGTAATGAATATTTCTTGAAGCTAATAAAGTTAGATCAACGCAGCTTGTTATACTGCTACATGTTGCATGTTTATATTACACAATAGTTTATTTAATTAATTTTATATAAAAAAATCCAATAAGTATATTTTTTCTATGCATGCACTTACTGCTTTCATTTCTGTAGGTCCGAATTCCCTCTCGATCGTAGTGTTTTTGTCACCCTTTTGCATTTGGACGAGTTTGTTACCTTCCAGAGTGCACACGCTCTTTACTTTCCTGCCGTCTGCAGTCTCCTCGTCAAACTCCTCCCCGAGCTTAAATTTAATTTCGGTGTTTTTAAAAGTGCTAGTCGTCTTCAGAGTATACACTCCATCTTTTTCCGTTAGTTCGACGGTAGGACTAACTGTCGCACCCATTTTTCGCGTTACCATACCCACTCCTGTAAGAAGGTGGAAAACACACATTTTTATTGGTCTATGCAATAAAAATTCAAATTTCTTTAATGAACACGTACTTGATCACTAAATATGAAACTTGACAAGTACACACACACACACACACACACGCGCGTACATATATACAAATGTATATATATATATTTTATGATTACATATAATTATACACATACTTATGTGTAGACATATTGGGTGCTTTCCAACTACGTACACAGGCGACACTGTGTAACACAGTGTCCATTAGTGTGAGAATGAGCATATCAGTGTGTCTCACTGTAGTTGGAAAGCACCCTTTATATACATCTCTTCGTGGACTGATATGAGTTTTGACTCAAAAATTGCGCATCAGCGTTTCTAGAGAAAATTATTTTTTTTCAAACGCTTATATCTTCGAAACTACTAGAGATTTGTTCAATTTGTCTTTTTTTTGTTTTTTTATCGACGCAGAATCATTCAAACTTTTGATTCAAAAAAACAAAATTGAAAAACATTAATTTTTCGCGGAAATTTTTAATTTTGAAGTCGCGTAGGCCTCAAAATTAGCCAGTCCAACTAGTAGGCATTTTTGAGTCAGTCCACAAAAGGAGATATATAAATACATAATGGCTAGTCTATAATGGGAGTAGGCAGTATAGAGTAAGAAGTAAGGTTCTTGGAGTTCTTTTATTTTTGTCTATACAAGTGATTATTTCGCATTTTTTAACACACGTCTTTCATTGGCTAACAGTAAGGCAGTAGCATAGAGCTTATACTCATGGAGAGGCCCTGCGACCGCAAGGAGGATCGACAAAGAGAGATATATTTTTCTGTTTCAACTGTGGCCACTTCTTATAGAAGAGAATAACAGAGAACACGGAGTGGGGGAGCCACAGTTGAGACAAAATATATATTGAAATATATCTCTCTTTGTCGATCCTCCCGGCGGAGCCCTCTCTATGGTTAGCATATAGGCAGGGCCTCTCCATGAGTATAAGCTCTATGGGCAGTAGGCAGTGCGAAATGGGAATTGTCCATTTTGTTATTCCCGTCGTTTCTTCACTGAAAAATAGAGTCCTTTCCAACTACGTACACAGGCAACACTGTGTAACACTGTGTCCACTAGTGTGAGTGAGACACTGATATGCTCTTTCTCACACTAATGGACACTGTGTTACACAGTGTCGCCTGTGTACGTAGTTGGAAAGCACCCATAGTTTACTCTCTACTCCTACAGCCTTACAACCTTCATTGTAGACTAGCCATAATGTAGCATAAAAAGCATAAATTGATATTGCGTCGCGAGTACTCTATTAGGATAAGTTTTAAATTATAAATCTATTTAGTCAACTTAAAGTTGAAGTAAAAAATAAAGTTTTATATGTTTATTTTTTGTAGTGTATTTCTATCAAAAAGTTTTAGTTGCTAATCCTACACAACAAAAATTTCTCATAGAATCTACATACGAAAAGCTTCTGAATTCGGAATATTCTGTATTTTCATGTGTTGAAAAAATTGTCTTTTTCACTCACCTAAGGTTTTCATATACTCATCGAACTTGTCGCTTTTTTGGAGTTTGTAACGATTGCCTAAAATATTGTTTAATATTTCTGACGACATTATATGCAATGTATTATCAATGCTTGTGAGAACGAGACTGGCTAATGACGCGACCGGTTTGTATGTTTATGCGTAGTAGACTGTATCGTAGGTAGACGGAGGTTATCAAAAAATTATAGTAGTATAGTTCATGGTGTATCTCTCAGAGTTAAACTTCAAGGTGAAAGAAGTAAACTTTGATGTTTGACCCCCGACTGAGTAAGCAAGCGCTATTTATAAACTTTGTGACAATTTATAATTTATAATTTCAACACAATTATTTATGTCTGCGTTATTTTATGAATGGAGATTAACTTTGTTCTAATTTTTAATATTGTACACATAATTAAAAAAACCAGTAATATAAGGATATTATAAAACCATAATCCAAGGATATTTAATTGTAATTCATTATGACTACAAAAAAAAAGAGATAAGAGGTTTGAAGGTTACAATGCTGATTTAAAATTAATTTTGACTTATGCTGCACTGCTCCGTCAAGTAACTAAAAACAAGTTATTTTATCTCCATCAGGTGATAACAAAGTTACAAATTCACGGTCAAGTCACGCAAATGTTGTTTATCAGTTTTTATCTTCGTTTCACCGCGCGAAAAAGACAACTAACCATTATTTTTTATGTCGTGCATAACGACACATCGGAGACGTACAAAATGACTCGCGCACGTTTAGAATCGTGCTCTTATTTAATTTCCGGTGAACAGCTCTCAAAGATTACCATAAAAATTACAAATAAAGTGGAAATGATGATAGTCGATAAACAGTTTTCTGCTTGAAACTTTTATTGAATTCTTTGTACGAATTACTGACGATCTACCTATTATTTCTTATTTCGCTCAAAGCTGAACGTGACAATATTGAAAAATAAGCAATAATAAGAAAATAAGAAAAATAAGCAACTTAATTTTGATAAACATCATATATACAGATTGTCATATATCCGTATTTAAAATTCTGATGAAATACAATCAAAATATCATAAATCATAAATTGAACTAATTTTTACAAAATATTATTCATCGAATAAGACTGAAACTGCATGATTCATCGATTTTATAATGCTAGTATGATTGAGTAACAAAGAGAAGAAAGAGACATTGTTTAGAATCTAGCTTTTTAGTTTATATTGTGCCAGTGTCAAGAAAATAATCATAATTATTAGGCTCGAGAAAATGAACATTATGTTGACTTTGTTTAAAAGTCTAAAAATTCTGATTTTAAAAACATTTAATGTAACTTCTTTTCTTTCTGTCTTTTCCTTTATCACTTATAAAAAGAGACATAATATCATTACAAAGCTTTGGGAAATTTTATACAGGTGCAAATACTAAAAGACAATTGTGATTTATTAATCTTGTTGATGAATTAATTCATGTATTAAATTGAACCACAATCAGACAGTCGACATACGATTGGAATTAAGATCGAGGTCAAGGCGTAATTTAACGTATTAAAATGATTATCTTCCTTCTCTCTTCATCAATATCTTTTACTAACTATAAAAAATATATAACAGTTATAATTAACCGCGATTAGATATATGATAATATGCAGTAAGTGTAATCATATGGATAGTTATATTTAAATTTTCAATAAGCAAACAATTATTTAGAATGTACAGTAGAAACATGTAAAGCATTATTACATATTATAATTAGTATATGAAATAATGCTTTATTATATATCCTTGTACTTCTAAGCATATAAGTATTCTACACAAGTCTATAAATTTTCAAAATAAATATTATTTATATATAAGATATATATTATGTATTATCCTTTAGAAGGAAGAACTTTTGAAGTTTGTCTTGTTCACGTGTAACATTCGTAATAATCACGTGCACATATTTATTCACGTTCTTCATGCTAGAAAAAACCTACATGCTACATTGTATTGCAAAAAAAAACTGTGCGTTACTCCTACAATTTCATTATTATAATAACAAAATTTTGTAAATAATATTTGTCAAAAATTGCGAAAAAGTCATTATGCATTTCCACAGTATGTACCTCCAATAGGCAAATTGTGAAAATATTACACAAATATGACATCATGAGTGACGACGACTCTTGCATTTCTTCATATGCAATCATATTTCTACATATTTTGAACATCACATAGCTAAATCTCTTCTCAATTATTGGACAACTTCTTTGTGAAATTAATTTTGCAAATATACTGCTAAGATGATTCGCTATATCGTTATTCTTTTGCCGAAATAGTATTTGGAAAGTAATTTTGCAAACAACTACAAATATTTCAGAAAAGATCAATGTTTTTCATCTATTTCCTAAAATATGTCTGTATAATTGCAAATTACAATTTTAGTGCAAGATTTCGTCACATAATTTTGTAAATGGTTTCCTATCAGGGAAGTATATTTTACTACAAGAATAACGCATATATGTATTACGTGTGAGGTTAATAACACAATTTAAATTTGTATTAAGTTTCTAAAAAACTTTACTCATTTCGAAATAACTAAAGAAATATATATATATATCGCACGCGCGTGCACACACACACGCACGTATATTTTCCATATAACTACACTTATCGTCAGAGAGTTGTATTATCAATACGTCGATATAACAGAATCGAATAATAGAATTGTCTATGTTTCTTGATTATCTTATTTGATACATATACGCGTACTTATTTTCTTAGATTTAAATTGTGGATAGTGCAAGTTTGTCTCATTTGCAATTAAAAACTTTTATTATTTACGATTATTTTTAAAAACAGTAGCAAAGAATCATATGCAAACTGTTATGCATTAATAGTGTTGATATGAACTCAACACAGTCAAATTTAGAGTATCCAATTTGACTATGTGTGTTGAGGATACTCTATAAGAACATATCTTTATAAGATATTTTATAAGAACAAATCTTTTTATTTACATTTGTGATTATAGTATAGATTAATTTGCTTTATGCAAGTACACAAACAGAATTCTTGAAAGGTTGCTATAAAATATGTCTAAATACATTTATACTGAACACATATTTCAACATATAAGAAATGTGCGAAATATTGCGTAATATGTTTAAAATCTGTGGCAGTCAAAGTTTAAAACAGATCTGTATAGATGAAATTATAACTGAACGATTAAACATGACAAAAATGGTGTTTTAACATTAATTTTTTCACGATGATATTTTAAGCATTCTGACTCATGCACATAGTTACCATAAATTTAAAAGGATTATTCAGATTTTCCTTAACAAGATTTAAGTAATATTTTATAATATCAGTTATCTTTATCAAGCAAAATATTAGCATCAGAAGAGAACTCTTATTCACGTTAATATTGAAACATATTCTTGTTTGGAATTAAGATTAAGATTATGACTATAAATAATCAAAACCTAAAAGTCATGTTCGATTACTACGTACCGAGAGCTTTCATAAAGTCGTCAAAGTTCTCGCTGCTAGCGAGCTTGTAACGCTTTCCGAGAAACTCGCTGGACATGATGATTGACCGAAAGAACGATTTTAGTGAAGAACGAAAAGCGGCGTCTAAGAAAAAATTGAGAACCGTTATGACAGGAACCTCGTCAGCTCGACGCGTTTATGTGAACTGAACAGGACCGGCCAGGATGAGGAGGTATGATGAGATACGAAACTCCATCTCTCCTAAACTATTTACCTTTCTCTCTCTCTCTCTATTTCTCTGTCCCTTCCACACTGGTTGTCGTTAGCTTGGTCCGCCTCGATACTAGGGTCGTGCTCCCTCTCTCTACACTTTATTCTCCTTCTCTCATCGAACGCGCCCTTTCCCTCCTGTTGATTCTCTCTGTCTTTTTCGCTTCTTCAACTTCCTTTTCTTCCGATCCTTTTACTCTTACCACCAATGTCCGAAATCTTTCCGTTTCATTCTCGCCCAAATGTTCCCACCACTTCAAAATCTAGTCGCAGCTGCGACATTCACTCTATGATATCCGCCCTTGTACAGTTTTTATTTTCTTCGTAATGTTTTTTTATTTATCTTTGCGCTCTTATGTATGAGTATGATATTAGAAAAAACAAATAATTGAACAAAATTAGCAATGAGTACAAACAACTAAACTTTATATATATATAGATTAATTTACCAAATTTAATTATATTTGTAATTTTTCTCTTTTGGACTTTTTTTCTCTCGAAATACCAATGTTTTACACAAATATTACATATATGTGTATATATATATCATATAACATATATTTTTATACTACACACACACACACACATTATATATATATATATATATATATATATATATATATATATATATATATACACATGTATATATACACGTATACACATATATATGTATATAAGTTAAATTTTCTTAATATAGATAATTCGTTATTTTACTAGAGCAAATAATATACCACATCACAGTCACGCAAAGATATAGAAATTATTGCCGATAATCTTAATAATCATTCATATAATGCGCGATTATTATGATTATCGGCAATAATTTTTATTATACGCTAAAAATATTGTATTGCAAATTGTAAGAAATTCCGGATAATTACTACTTTTCAGTTTTAATCATATATTAAGTGCACTGACTTACTCTCAAGTACATACGATACAGCTAACACGAAGTTCAAGAACAGCACAAAGTCGAACCATCACGTTATTACTTACGCGTTATTAGTCATGCTTAATGTGAGGTACATCGTACCATACAAATGCCCTCTTCTTATTGGTTGATACATCAGCGCGCTTGATTTCGCGACGAATCATTCCCTCCCCCCTGCGTTTGAATAAAAGATTAACGATACTTATATTGTAATCTTTTCACAATTGTGTTCAAATAATAATATTCTGACTCTCAATATAAAACTAAATGTAAACTCTGTTTACATTTTTACAAATAAAGTGTCGGTTCTTAACATATTTAATCTTCTGCAAATTATATATATGTATATATATGTATATATTATACATATAATCAAAAAAAGAATGTTCACATTTTTTTACTTATTTCTTTCACAAGAATTGTTTTTCTCACATTGTACAAAGTACTCCGTTTCTGTACGTTTTCCAGCGGGTATAAGGTTTTTCATGCTCACACAAGAGAAACTGTATTAAAAAAAATTGTGTGCAATTCATGATTCCACGTTTGATCCAGTAGCGTCGATTTGTTTGCGATCCGCAACGCCTACTACGGTCGATAACGGTGCGGTAAAACCGCGTCAACGTTGCCGTAATAACGCACACATAAATGTCGCGTAGCAACACGTGAGTTCCAACATCAACGACAAACGCTTGGCAACAACGCGACCGCGGCGGTGCGAATTCCGCACACTCACCGATGGAAAGTGGTCTCTTATAAACCAGCTAGAGTTTACCGATATATTGATAACTGTTATTTATTTAACAGATGACATTTTGTAAAAACTTGTAACTTGTGACTGTCGGTTTTTTATTCATTTTTATATGTTGTATATGTGTTGGCAATTTTTTCCATTGCTGCAACAATACTGTTTACTTATTATCAGTGTCTTGCACGTGTTTATTTTTTACAAAAAGCTGTAAAAAAGTGTGAACACACATTTTTTATGAAAAGCTGTTTATTTAGTATACACAGTTCAGTAAATGATGAAATTATAACAGATACTTCTAGCATATACTTTATTAATTTTTGTATAATGTATAAAGTGTATTTTCAAAAACATTATTTTAGTAAAATTAGTACTTGATATATACATCACAGATGTACATTACAATATTTCTGACAATATTATGATACAAAAATTTAATATAATCAAATATAAAATTAAACATGTGACAAAGTTTTTATTATATATAGGAGAATTAAGAACTGTTAAAAAACCTGAGAAGCATAAAAATAAAGAAATTTCTACACACGAATATTTCATAGACAGCGTCTACGTGTCTGATCATGTCTGCGCGGCGAGATTCCGCCGTCTTTCGTCCTCGCCAACGCCGTATTGGTCTGGCAACGTCGCGGACGGCATAGATTCCGCTCCGCAACCGCAACCGCACGTTTGCTGGGCCGCCATGATACCAAAGCTGTGCTGGCCGTACAACGGTTTCTCCGCAGTGACGCGCAAGCCACTGCCGACGACGCGACGTAACGAACGTCGGACATACGGCTGGCCGCGTGCGGATGTTATATTGCCGATTACTTTCACGTATTACAATCAACTGAGACCACCGGTGTGACAAAAAAGTTGTTTTACGGCAGGTGGATCACTGCCGAGATCGATCTTTATGCTTTTCTATTTTGACTCCTTCAGGAGGGATTTTTTAATCTTTACCTCAATCTTTTTTTCTTTTTCTCTTTCTGTCTTTCTCTTTCTTCCTCATTTTAAAACACTCTTAGATCAGTACAAATTTCCTGATATCAAAATAGTCCATTTATTTTGTCACATTGTACGCGAATCAAAAAACAAAACGATTTGATCGAGAAGAGCCAAGCGAAAAGTTGAGAGCAAGAAGGAATTCTTGGAAACTCTATGAGTATGTTTGATACGGAAAGGTTTATTGAGGAGATACAGAGGCGGCCTGCGATCTATGATGTGAAACGCGGCGAGTACAACGACCGTAACGCCAAGATGACCGCGTGGGACGAAGTCTGCCAGGTGATGGTACCGAATTGGGCGCACTTAACGGATGAAGATAGAAACATACAAGGTATATAACATGTCATCGCAATTGTAATCGATCCGGATTCCCTTGGCTACGTTATCGCTAAGCAGAAATCCGGAAATTTAGAGTTGGCGCGAATCGATATTTTTTATCTAATGTAAAAAATAACTTACAATATCGAATAATCTTATAATTAGGACATATTAGTGAATAACACATAACATATTGAGTGCTCCATGTTATGTCTTACATATTTGTTTTACATATCACAAAAACTACATCTTAGTTTTATTAATTTAAATTAATATTTCATAATGCATACTTACAAGTGTTCTTATTTAGTTAAAAAGTGTTGAAGAAAGTTTACAGATCAATAATAATTCTTTAAAATCATACTTTGAAATCATGTATAACAAAACTTTTGCTATTAATAGCATGTATTTTTTTCGAAGAAAATTTTTGAAAGTATATAAAGCTCTCTCTCTTTTTCTTCCTTCGCAATTTATTTAATATATTTTAGAAAAAAATTTGCGTGGGAAATGGCGAAATATACGAGACTACTTTATGAAAGAACTCAAGCTTCAAAAATCCCATAAAAATGGACCTGCCGGCCGAAAGCGCAAGAAATATGTGTACTTCGATAGATTACTGTTTCTCATGCCGACGGTAGAAAACAAAAGGTATTAACTTTTTCGTTAAAAGTTATAATCTCGTACGCCGTAACCTTATATAATTTCTTTTTTCAGGAATTCTGCGTCACTTAGCCCCCCGTCAATGAGCCCAACACCAATCATTTGCAAGGAGGAGGAAAGCGAGGGTGAAGTGGATAATCCCGTAATCGAAGAGTACGACGTACCTCTTGCACATGGTGGTTCCGTAACAGGAAACAGGGAGTTTCTTCAAGGGGGTACGCCCTCCTACAAAATGTGTCCGCGTTACTCGAAACAACTTTGTGAAACATCTTTCACACCTTTTGACAACGAGATACATGATATTCTTTCCTCGCATAGTAGTCAACGTGTTACCGTTGACGAAGATGACTACGACAAAATGTTTCTTCTCTCGTTGTTGCCGATCATCAGACAGGTACCGGAAGAAAAAAAACTTGATGTCAGAATACAAATGCAACAAGTCCTTGCTATGGCAATTCGCCCGTCTGATAAAAAGTAAGCCACTTGTATCGTTTTTTCAGCCATGTGATCACGCGCAAACAAAAGATGATTTCTTTTATTTATTTTTACACATTTTTGTGTCCGTTTTGTTTTAATATTTTGAACATGTATATAAATTAGCTTATTTCTTGATATATTTTTTAGGATGGATGTTGAAGTTTAATTTCACTATTCCAGCGTGAGAACTGACAAATAGTATAAAAGTTATTTTTTCTAATGTATTTAATAAGTTATATTTTCTAATATATTTTGATCACCAAGATCATTACGTGTTCGGTAAAGTACTTTGACATATTTTTCAATATAAAGCTTCAATATTGTATAAATATACCGTGATCATGATAATTATAAATGTTGTATTAAAGTACATTTACAACTTAGTTATTACTTAAGGAAATACTCTAGAATATACAACACATAAATTTTATACTATTTTAAGATAAACATTATGAAATATAAATATATGACTGTGATATTAAGTTTTTGACAATCAAAGACATGAAAACAATATGTACTATATGGATGCAATCTCATGATCCAATCAACAAATTGACTTAATTCTTGTGAAATATAAAATATATAAATTCATGTTATCTTCTCTTGAATTTTTGATTTCCTGTAAGTAAAAATTATTACTTCATCTGTATTAAGAATTTAATCAGTCTGAATTAATTATGAAATCTAAAAATATAAAACTGTTTAATAAACACATTACACACAAATTACTACTTTTTTTAAATGTTTATTTCTTACAGATTTTGCTTTTAGAATATAGTAATCATATAAATACTCTGATAGCCAAGTCTATTAAAAAAATATGTCAAGTGCTCATAAAATGCCAGGGACATCAAAATTATAGCAGATCTGTCAAATAAGTTTAGCAGCAAATTGAAAGCAGAAACTGAATAGATCTTTGTCAAAACCTAAAACTTAATAATATCACCTTAAAGAATTGTGACAGATTTGTCCAGAATGTACTTTATTGATGATAATAATTTTAAATATGATATTTGATGCTTTTGCGGTGTGTTGTATTAACATTCATCCATATCAGGCTGCTCTTAAAACCTTGATAAAGCAAGCTGAATGTTCACGAAACGTCAGTATAAAAATGACATTAATGCAGTTCAAACCCAAAATATATCTTCAAATGTTTAAACACAGATCTAATGATCTTACAGATCAATCTTGATCTGTTGCAATAGTGACATTCTGCTTAAATTTATAGGCAATTCATTTGCAAAGTGTTAACAGTTTGTTTACTAGATGTACATCTAATATAATATGATCCGTTTTGTTTGGATTACACATAATTTCAAAATACAATCGTCTGTCTATGATAAAAAGACAAGATGTAATATACATAATAATGACAAAACGAGATAACCAATTAACTCTAATCCTGTAAATCCTCACAATGGTGTCCAAACGGATTTAAAAGTATCTTATTAACTACCCAGCAAACAATTTGATTGTCAGATGTCGATTTTGTCGCCAACTGCCACATCAAATCCATATCCATCTGTGTCCTCAGTAGGATATGGTTTTGGTGAGTTTTGACCATGTCGCGTTTTTTGTGTGTGTGTTAACAGCTTTGGCAGCACACAAAGCATGTTTCCGTATTGTAGCGTTTCTGCACACAGTTTCTGTTGCCAGGTCTGCGCAGTCAGAAATTGTTTGCTGGGTATTTAGTAGAGGAATTTCTAAAAGATAAAAAAATACATAAAAACTGTTATTTCTTTATAGAATATTGAAATATTATTTCAATATAGAATATTGTGAAAAACTCAATGTTTTAATCAATAAAAAAATCACGTCAAATATAAATGGCAGGATTTACTGGATAAGTACCTAAAAAATCGTTTACAGAATTAGAGCACGATTTTCACTTCTGTCACATCATATATACAACTTTCTATCATGTATAATGTATACATCTTGCACAATTTTTAACGAAACACCTTACCATTGTTACTGAAAAGAGAACAATTTGCAAAAAACAAAACCAACAAAAACAAAAAAACGGGATAACACATGTTAAACAGGACAAACGAGACAGATCTCTCACTCAGTGTTGTTAACAGCCATATTGTTTTGTAACATTTGTAACAATTTCTGATTAGCTACTGCGTATTCACGGAAGTAGTGGATTTGGTTTCGTGCACTTGTGGCTCTTGGACCGTAAAGGAAGGTTAACGCCATCACACATAAAGGGTCGTCTACAATGGAGAGTTGTAGGCCGTAACAGTAAGAAATTGACAAATCACAATCGATTATTCTTCTGTACTTTGCCTGTGATTGGTCAATTTCTTACTATTACGTCCTACAACTCTCCATTGTAGACGACCCTTTATGTGTGATGGCGTTAACCTTCCTTTACGGTCCAAGAGCCACAAGTGCACGAAACCAAATCCACTACTTCCGTGAATACGCAGTAGCTAATCAGAAATTGTTACAAATGTTACAAAACAATATGGCTGTTAACAACACTGAGTGAGAGATCTGTCTCGTTTGTCCTGTTTAACATGTGTTATCCCGTTTTTTTGTTTTTGTTGGTTTTGTTTTTTGCAAATTGTTCTCTTTTCAGTAACAATGGTAAGGTGTTTCGTTAAAAATTGTGCAAGATGTATACATTATACATGATAGAAAGTTGTATATATGATGTGACAGAAGTGAAAATCGTGCTCTAATTCTGTAAACGATTTTTTAGGTACTTATCCAGTAAATCCTGCCATTTATATTTGACGTGATTTTTTTATTGATTAAAACATTGAGTTTTTCACAATCTTAAAGAGCCGTCTACAATGGAGAGTTGTAGGCCGTAATAGTAAGAAATTGACCAATCACAGACAAAGTACAGAAGAATAATCGATTGTGATTTGTCAATTTCTTACTGTTACAGCCTACAACTCTCCGTTGTAGACGGCTCTATAGAGAGCATCACAACTAGGATCTCTGTCTTTGTCTCGTCGTCGCTGATTGGTTGAAATTTATACGAGTACAGTCCAGGACAAAAGAACAACGAAAAGTAAAGAATGACTGCATTTAGCAGAAATCAGCGCTCACATATATATAATACTTCTATATTGCTAGTACGGTGCCGACCTGAAGTCCAAATGTTACGGTGCAGACAATATAGTAGCAGAGAGAAACCTGAGAGCGGCCATGCCATTGTAGTTTCTTACGACAGTTTCAGCCGCTGGTTTTAGCCGTATTTCCACAAAAGTGGAACTCAAAGGCCGTTCTACATTAAACGCAAGTCGCAGATCTCGTGGAATTGACCAATTGCAGAGTCAAATCAGCCAATCGACCAACGTGATTGATCA